TGGTGTCTGAAAACCTAATTTTAATTGTTATACAATATACGCATATACCTATATGTATAGCTTACTGTTTTTTTAAATTGTTTTTTATTTAATACGATGCTAAATGTGATTCTTAAAGTTTTTTTATATCATGTTTTATAGTCGTATAGGCTATATACGTAGACGGTGTAGTTATTTATTTGATACTTAATAGTAACAGGCAAACCCAAAATTAACAATAATATATATAATATATATATTTATACAAGAACACATTTACACAAAAGGCAAAATTATGACGCAATATTATATACAATTGAATAATAAGTATCAAACTATTGTTTATGTTTCAGATGAACGTTAAAAAAAAAAATGTACACTCGATAACATACAATAAACCTAAAATTATCAACACCTATTTTAGTGATTTTTCTCTCTGCCACCCTCTTATCAGTAAATACCCCCTTCCAATTTATTGTTGGAAATTAATTTTGTTTATGTTAGCCATCAGTCACACTTCGACATTCCATGTTCGACAAAGCAACATGGAATTTAGTTTGTTCAAAAATTGGCTTACAAAAATGTACTCATTTTATAAAATAATACACAATTAMAGTTTTTAACTACACCATTTCATAAAATTAACATTTTGTTTTATAAAAATAAATAATTTATAATATATAGTTATAGTTACTAATTACAATGTATTTTTAACCACACCATTTATACAAATGACAGTCCTCAGTCTGTAAAAATGGGAAGGAAAATATGTATACCATTAAACAATTAATTGATTATTAACCAGGACGCAACACCAGTGGCGGACTGGGAGAAAAACACAGCCCGGGAAAATCATAATTGTAGAGGCCCTCAATATACTAACGGCCTTTTAAATATATAATATATTTTTTATACGTCATGTGGATGCCTATATACCTAATATAGTAATAACTATTTTAGATTCTGAGCGGAACGATGAATGTATAGTTTAAAGTTTTTACAATGATGTGTGTTTTTTAAATTTTTTTTTGTGTCTGTCATCACGTTTTGGGACAGTAAAAATGCTTAGATTTTTTCAACATTATCTTTTCTAATAGGAAAGTAATGGATCTAGTTGGTAGTTTTCCCAGTAGTTTTCAAAAGTAAAGTTAAAAACAAAAGAAAAATTATTTTTATTTTTTGATTTAACTCTAAAACAAATGACCGTAGGATACATGCAATTTTGACTGAATGTTTATATTAGCTTTTTTTATACATCATAACATTTCAAAATATTTTGACTTGTTTTGAACTGTTTACGGCAATTTAAAATTTCATGTTTTTTAATTTTTTTTCTATAAATATCAATAAAATTGTATTTTGTCCCAAAGTGCGTGAAAAGGTAATGAAAGGCTCCTCATATATTGTTACTATATAGCGCTTTGAAAAATATTAAAAATGCATAGGCACAAATTTTTTATAATCATTTAAAGTTTGAACTTTGACAAAATGTATCAAAATCTTGAAAATTATGAATGATTATAATTAAAAAATTATGAAATATTCAGTTTTATAACTAAGGATAGAAAATTTAAAATTTACCTAGATTCTCATAAATTGTTCAAATTATGACCAACATATCTAAAACATTAATTACTTTAATCACAATAATATTATAGAATAATATGCCTATTGCCTACCTATAGTAATATTATAGACATACCGTCTAAAATCTCGTTTTTCGTACACAATAATATTATATCGTTGAATTCAAATTAAATACCATTCAGTACAGTGACCTACTATTGTAACCTACTGTAAGCCTGGACTGGCCGAACACAAGCCAGTTCAGCATTTTAAAATACCTAATCAGAAATCTAGGTTTTTATGTTTAATAATACTTTATATTACATACTTATTACTTATTAGATAATATTTTTATTTATTATTTGACCATTATATGATATTAATAAATATATATTTTATACCAGCAGCAGCCCACCGGGAATTTTCCCGGCATCCCGGTCGCGTATTTACATATCCCACTTGAATTGAGCACCATAGTGCATCCATAGCGCATCCCGGTCGTCCAGTCCGCCACTGGACGCAACTATTGTATACATGTCGCGAAAAAATCGAGGACGCAACTGTGTTGTACAAGAACTACGGACGCAATTAGGATATCGCGATGTATATTTTCGTATTTTGGGACGCAATTCGTATGCAGCCAAAACGGGATCGCCCCTAATAATAAGCGAAAAACGAGAGCTATGATAAATTCGGGCTTATTATAGTTCTCGTTTTTGGCTTATTATTAGGGGCGAGTCCGTTTTCAACCAAAACCGTACCCTTCCATTTTCGGGCGATTTACTTTTCGACAAAATTTAAAATAGGTCGATTCCCTTTTCGACTAAAACAAAAATTTATATAATAAATTCAAAATAATAAAATAATGATATACAATTTTTGTCAATAATTATTAAGTATAATATTAATATAAAAATAATTAACATTATTTTTATATTTTAAATAATTTTCTATATTTAATTTCATAACATTTTATGCAACATACCTATAACAATTTTAATTAAACGACAAGGGAAAGGAAATGTAATTTGATGATTTCTAATAATGTAATGTATTTTTGATAATCTAATGTATGTAATTCTAATAAAATATTAATAATAATACTAAATATTTTATTATAAAAATAATTAATAATCAATACATAATTATACATTTTTTTAACTTTATATTTCCAACATTCGAACTTTTGCGTATCCGAACTAGGTGCGGTACCAATTAGTTCGGATAATCAAGGTTCTACTGTATTATGAAAAATGAAACTAATTATTAGGTATGAATTCATTTTATAGCAAATGATGGAAATCATGTTCAGCAATTTTTTTTAATTTAGATACCTATCTACTGCAACGATAGTGAAAACAAGGTCAATGAATAATATAAATATACACATTTATATATATTAGGTATGACAAACTATCAAAAATTAGTAGAGATTATGTACTATTATTGTAACAAAAATCATTTGACTGTAGGACAAAATACAACGTCGGTGCTTGTATAGTTCGTTAATATTTCGAACCAAAAATGAAGTGTTTATTAATNTCATAACATTTTATGCAACATACCTATAACAATTTTAATTAAACGACAAGGGAAAGGAAATGTAATTTGATGATTTCTAATAATGTAATGTATTTCTGATAATCTAATGTATGTAATTCTAATAAAATATTAATAATACTAAATATTTTACTATAAAAATAATTAATAATCAATACATAATTATACATTTTTTTAACTTTATATTTCCAAAATCCGACTTTTGCGTATCCGAACTAGGTGCGGTCCCAATTAGTTCGAATAATCAAGGTCCTACAGTATTATGAAAAATCAAACTAATTATTAGGTATGAAATATGAATTCATTTTATAGCAAATAATGGAAATCATGTTCAGCAATTTTTTTAAATTTAGATACCTATCTACTGCAACGATAGTGAAAACAAGGTCAATGAATAATATAAATATACATATATATATATATATTAGGTATGACAAACTATCAAAAATTAGTAGAGATTATGTACTATTATTGTAACAAAAATCATTTGACTGTAGGACAAAATACAACGTCGGTGCTTGTATAGTTCGTTAATATTTCGAACCAAAAATGAAGTGTTTATTAATCTTTCTTATTACTTTTGTGATTGCTGTTAATTCAGATATTAATAAAAGTTTGTTTTTTCCACAATTACCAGTTGTAAGTATCTTATGATTTATTACATTTCTTAGAATTATTTATAATTTTAAAATACCTTAACCGATCTAACTATACAATGATATTGTAACCATCACAATGCACCAAACTTTTTACATCAAACCTATAAATTATATTGTTTAGAATTGTTTATAATCTTATAAATTTCTTAAGGGTCAATACCGCTTAAATTTTCTGGGAATCATGCGTTGTGCTTCTATTCATTCACATGAAAAAATTAAATATGATTTGTACCTAAGCAAAAAGTCTGCTAACACCACAGAAATCAAAGGAAACATAACTCATTTCGTTGAATTTAATGACTCTATCGATGTGAGTTTAAATATTGTTTTTATTAAACTTAATTTTCTATTGATGGAAGTTGAGTTTTTATGGTTTTGAATTGTAACTAATTCAATATACAATTTATTGTAGAACGATTATTTGAAGTTTTATTCATTTAACAAAAATAATTTTAAATCCTATTTTATCAACATCTGATTAGGATTTTGGTCAAAATAAATAAATAAATTCTTATTTTCTTTTAAGTTGGAATTCAATCTRGCCATAAAAGACTCTATTGGTGGCTGGAAGGATAATGCTCATGTATACAAATCACCCAGAGCTTGTTCGTCACTTAAAATGTTCTTTGGAGATTCATGGACTCCAATAATGAGTGGTACTGGAATTTCCAACACAACTTGTCCTATCCCCGTGGTATGAAAATCCCATATACATTTTGATATTTGTATAACATAAGAATATTATAACATGATTTCATAGCTAGTATACATATATTGCAGAGCACTTATTGGTATTTGAATATCAACTTATTTTTGATTATGCAAWATTGTATTATTATTCACAGTTTGCAATAGAAAAAAAATGTTGTATCATGTTTCCAGGGTTTTTATAAAGGTACTGGCGTGGATACTGATCTTTTCCATAATACCAATTTTCCCAAAACATTTTTTTATGGAACATACAAATTTCGTATTTCTTWTACCAAGAACAATGAAGTATATGGCTGTTTCATTACAGTTTTGGAGATAAAGCGGCCATGGGAAACTAACAATTAATAATTAAATTACAATAAAACAGTAACAAATTTATTTAATTTTTACCCATGTTCGAGCATATAACAGAAATATTTTTGTTAATAAATTTATTTATTTTTCATTAAAATATATGTATACTATTTATTTTCGATTTATTTAATACAATGCTAAAAGTGATTTATTAAGTTTTTTATTTAACGTTCAATATTTTGTAAATAATCAAATCAATCATTAGGTATGATTTCTTTTTTTAACAACTGATGTAAATCATGTTTACTTATTTTGTTCGTTTAGTATACATAATTTATTTATTTATTTATTTATTTTTTTTTTATGGTTAGGGCTTCGACAACTGAGGTCATTAGCCTGGGGAACTGTAGGGGAAGATACTGTAAGGTTTTTAACTCGTGGTTTTTTGGCAGAATTTTGAATGGGCAACCGTGGGTTTCTGCCATGCCCGGTTGGGGGCCGGCGGCCTCTCTCTTCAGACATCGCGAAATGCGATGACCAAAGAGCGATGCCGCCCGTGACCGATATTCGAACCGGCGACTGCGTGCGTCGCAACCGACGCCTTAGTCCGCTCGGCCACTCCACCCCCCTAATATATTTATTTGTTTTGGATACAAACACAAAAAATTAAATATGTAATATATTGCATTTTCCTGTTAATTATAATTTATTAATTTATATAATATAATATGTATTAATGTATAATCTGTATCATCTGGTTGCTATAAATATATTTACTCATTGCACAGTGCACAGCATATTATACATGTACAAAATGTTGATCAATCCTAACCTAACCTAAATCAACCTCACATATCAAATTTCGTTTTCTGTGGACTGTACTATTGTCTTCGAAGACCCTAAACTTTCCAGTGATCATCGCTTTTTTTTACATTAACAATGATTTTAGATTCTGAACGGAGTGATGAATGTATTGATTTTACAATGATGTGTGTGTGTTTTTTTTTTGTGTGTCTGTGTACAACATAACTAGTCGAAATAATGCGAAATAATTTTTCTGAAAATTTTTTTTGATGTGTCGATAAAATTTTTTTGGCCCGATCAAAATACTTGAAAAATTAATACAAAGTTCCTCATAAGTTATTCTTATATTGATTAAAAAATTATAAGAATACATATGCACAATTTTTTTTATTAGCATTTGAAGTTCAAATATTGACAAAAATTTGTCAAAACCATGAATATTTGCAAATTATTTTGTAATTCAAAATTCATAAAATTGTTTGTATTTATATCTAAGGTTATAAAATTCAACACTAATTTTTCCATAAGTTTTGCTTCAAATAGCTAGAGAGAAAATTTGAAGCGTCATAATGGAAAAATATTTTGAGCGTTTGAGTTTTAAATTTTTATGAAATCGCGTAACTATAACGATTTATCCTCAAACCAGGTAGGTATATGTATATCTATGATAATATAAAGTATTATGAATTATGATAACTACATGCAATGTTTTTGGAAAAATTGATTAACCATGCCTTATGCAAAATGCGTCTTAATTGAAAAATAAAATATTTGTTTCAAAATAGAATATATGTCAATATTTAAATATAATATATCCTAGACTGACAAATCATCTCCGTTCAGAATCGTTTTTCGTATTCAATAATACCTATCATTGCATTCAAATTTAACCTACCCTAGTCAGAAGTCCACCCCACCCCCTAATGTACATCAGAGTGGTACCCACTTACTCGTTTTTTTAATATTATGGGTGGCGTGGGTATTAAGGAAATTAAATTATTTAAAATTAACATACATCTCGATTATGTGATTCGTCGATGGGGTAAAAGCCCTATGTATAAATGTAGGAAAAAAATCCTAACGGCCATATAATATATTAATTATTGTCGAGGGTTCATAATAACATATTATCATCATAAGAATACGATACGTTTTATGTAAGTATTTTGCTGAGAGTTATATTATGTTAAGTGTTTGTTCACTATTAATGGCCTAACTTGGTTAGATTACATTATACTTTTCTTTTATGTATGTAATTTTTCTCATGGGTATACATATATCTGAATAGTATAATATTTAGTTTCTGTTACCTATTAATATGAAATCATGTGTCATATGAGTAAATAAAATAAATGTAAAATGTATAAACTACGATGTACCTACACATTTTTAAGATCATTTTATAGATGCAATTCATCCAAATCATTCGACTTCGAATGATGAAAAATATTAATCAAAACCTATCAAACTGTCTTACTTAGGTACTCAATAAATAGCAACCTTGAAAATGCCTACATCTTTAAATATAATTTTCTGTTACATAACAAACGTATTATTAAATAAAAACCGCTAATAGCCTAACTATAGACAAGACGATTTAGTACATCAACTAAATTCTGAGCATCGTGATGGACGATGAATTGTTTTAATTAAATTAATTATTTTTCCAGTATTGTACAAAATAATTATCCAGACATTAAACGTGTTAATTTTATTGCAGAAAAAAACTAAATGTATCTGCATCCCATCCATTTCATTGCACTCAAATGTCAGTGAATGTTGAAATATATAATGTTTAGTTATTTATTGTTAAATTGTTGGTGGTTGGAAGGAGAATGCTCATATATATATATATA